TCTGTCCTCCAACCACTTCAGATTTAACCTGTATTTCAGAAGCTTCCTTAGAGGCATTAGAGGCACTCCCAGCATTTAAAGTGCATTTTAATTAAGCCATTTAGACAAACCTCCAAGTTGGTCACATTCTCCCCTCCCTTACTAAGGGCACAAGCCACCACCTACTAATTTAACTGCCTGAAATCAGTCTGTTGCTGTGAAGAAGTACTGACTTGCACTCTGAAAAGTACTGAAGGTCTTTCCAGAGCTGCTAACAACGACAGAAGCAACAAAGCCTATCTGCAATGCTTTGCAGGGACAGCTGCAGGTTAGAAAAGAAAACAAAAGTAGTGAAAACCTAACGCAGAACAATTTACATTGGAAGAGAATTCAAGCCCTCCAGTTCCAGCCCTTGCTGAAAACAAGGCTGATTTCAGTTGAACACTGAACAAGAACAGAGATCCCTCCACCTCTCTGAGCATGCATTCCAGAGTCTGACCATCCTCATGGTGAAGATTTTTTGTCTTTATTTCCAGTTGGAGGGTCCTTTGGTGAAGTTGGTGTGTCATCTTCTCTTGTGCTTTTACTGTCCCCTTGCAAGAAGCACCTGGCTTCACCTTCTCTGTGACTCCCACCCACCAGGCAGCTGAAACCAGCAGTTAGGTCTGCCCCTTAGTCTTCTCTTCTCCAGCCTACCAACCCAGCTCCCTCAGCCTCTCCTCATACATCACAGGCTGCAGCCCACAATCCTGCTCAGCGGCTTTTGCACCAGGCCAGCTCCTGTTTGTCCATCTCCCACGCTGGAGACGGTACTCTAGATGCAGCCTCACAGCTACCAAGCAGATCTGAACAACCACGTTGCTCAACCTGCTTTTGACTACTGGAGCCCAGAGCATGGTCACCCTTGGCTGCTGCAAGGGCACACTGCTGACCGACTCATCTGCCAGCGTGTGCAAAGATGGAAGTACCCTGCTTCACTCCAGCAGGTGCTGGGGTGGTTCAAGCCCTCCAAGAGAGCCAGGGCCTAGGATGATGTTTCTTCCTGTCTCAAGGTGGCTTTTTGTCCGCTTCCTCAAATCGCTGGGGCAGGTGCTCACTGTCGTGCCCCCCACCTCACTGTCCCCTCTCTAACCCTGACCCATGAGCTCGTCACAGGCCCCCTGCCCCACTGCAGCAGAGCTCCGCGCATCCAAGCCATACCTTTGCAGAAACACAACCCCTCCATCTTCCCTACTTGGCCTTCGTAAAGAGCATGCACTACAGCACTCTGGTTGCATCACCACATTTCTGTGACCCGAGAGAGATCACAGCCCTGCAATGCAGAGACTTCTCCTTTCACCTGGCCTTTGCTCACCAACCTGTGTATTCCTCTGCACCCGAGATGAGCCCTCAGTCACATGGCTCCCAAGCTATCCCCCATATGCATCACCTCACTTGGTCCCTCCATTTATCTGCTAGAAAAAGTGTATGTTAGTTAAGATATTGCTAAATAAAGCACTGTAAAGGCATTCATGCATGCCTACACTAGCTAGCAACAAGTTGGGGGTTTTTTTGTTTTTAAACAAGCTGCTACTTCATTTGTCATTCAAGACTGATTCATGAGAATGTTCTACAAACTTGGAAATTTTATCCTGCTAGTCATTTATTCACCTCAAGCTTCCTGGATCTATTACTTTCTGACTTTGCTAGAGATAGGACTCATTTCTACAAAGTGGGGCCCATGCAGTATGATATTTAAGAACACAGGAGAAAAGCTCAAAACAGGCTTGAATCAGAACAAGTGATGTTTCAGTACAGCCTTTAACTCCTCTGAGACCTCTGCATCTCTTCTATTATGGGACATAGATGTACAAGAGGTTCAGCCACAGTATGTATAGACAACTGAAAATGTGAGCTGGAATCTTCTATTTGTGCAGTGCATAAATGTCAGATAGAGTTTCCCTCCAAAAACAGAGAGTAATTAAATATATTCAGCACAAGGTCTCTTCTTGAGGCATGACAAACAAGCACTATTTTATATTGTGCCACATTTCTCAGACTTTTTGGTATATGAAGAATAAACATTACATACTGAAGCTGCTTGCTGTATTACAGTCAATTGTGTTATGCAATTAATATATGTAGTTGCACTTCCCGTCTCTGCAACTACATTTTAATTTCAGAAATATGCTGACTATAAGGCAAGGAGCAAGAACTTCATGTACTCGCCTTTTGAACACACCACATGCGGGAAGCAGGGCTGTATCTTGTACGCTTATAAATGATAATTATTTTTTTAAGCATGGAAAACCAGCCGGACATAGGCAGAATCCCAAGTCTTTCAAGACAGACAAGTATCAGAAACTCCTGTTTTCTTAGTTCTCATTAGGAGCTGTTCCAGTAGACAAACATTATTTTATCTGAAGCACATGCACTACATATATTAATTTGTGTTGTTACTGTATCAATGGTTAATATGGACTGGTGACGTAACACTGTGTTCTATTTATCCATAAATGTTAACAACACATTGCAGGTTACAAACTACTGAAAGAAGTCGATCTGTTTGGCTCCAGAAGATGATCTGCACCACCTACAGGTCTTCGCAGAGGGTTACAAGAGTCTAACTTTCCAAATAATCTTTCAGACATCCAATTCTACACTACTGGAATAAAAGTTAAGTCAAAATACCTCCTGTATAAGCAAAACAACAGGCTCACTTCAAAAATTGTCACCTAACATCAGTCCAACTTAGGTAGTTCAGCCTAGTTTGATAAGAGTTTTGCACTGATTAGTGTGAAATGGGGCCTTTGAATATGGCACACTTCAAGCTAAGAAATAATCAGTAACTCCCGTTGACAACAAAGAGGATGTAAAGGAACAGCAGTCCAGATATTTCCTTCCCAAACCACCTATATGTTCTAAATTATAGTTTGCAATTCTTAAAACAGCCACAATATACTGTAAAGCATATAGAAAACAACTCGGTGACTACATACCTTTCAAAAGATCTGTCAATACATCTCATCAGTCCCACTAACAACTTCTCTTATCATGCTTGTTCCTTCCAACTAAAAAAAGAACAGTGCTACACACTTTGAAAAGCATTAAGATTGGGAGGACGGCACACCAACAGCTTACAAGTAAAATACATTGCTTTTATCCCAAAGAGTTAAATTCATCAAAGTAGTACTCGAAAGCAAGATGCATTCCAATAACCTTAGCTATGCTGCAGAAGAAACTGAAAAAGTATGCCCGTAGTATTTCAGTGTCTGTAAGTACAGATTCAAACAAACTACTTTAAACAAATTGCAGCCCTGATGATCCTGTGGATGTGCAAGACACAGGTGGTTATCAACGGACCTCTTTCAATCTCGTAACGCTTGGATATACCAACCCCTACAAGATTCACTAAGAGCTTAATTCCATTTAATTACTCCCCTCCTCCTTTAAATATAGCTTTTCCTAAATGCAGTCAACATTAGCCATACGGAATCACAACACAAAACGTGGAGATGATTATGACTCTACAAAACAGGTCAAGTTACATTTTCTGCCATATATTTAACGCCAGTTTTATAAAGAAAACCCCCATCTCTCTTCCAAACTTGAAGGACTTCTGATGCACAGTACTGAACAAAAAAGTCTGACAACAAAGTTAAAATTCCCAGCGTTTACTTCGACATAAGAAAACTACAATGGGAGTATTAACTTTCAAACTCTTAAAATGAACATAACTGTAAAATTAAAGTTGGCTCAGATCTTAGGATCCAAAACTGACAGAAGTAGAAGATCCTGGGTATGTAATCAAGAACTAACGATGAAAGCTCTTGTAACATGTGCAAGAGTAAGATATAGCATTCAATAAAAGTGGGGACAAATATCTCAGTGTTACATCAATAACATTTCTAAGAGGACTCTGATCAAGTTACTATGCACCATTCTGCAAATGATTAGGAAAAGTCAAAAAACCTGTTGAAGAGAAGCAGAGTAACTCAAGTCTCCAGAAATCTCAAGACAAAACTACTCTTTGCATAATTTCTTTAAATATCAGCATGCCCAAGCCAAAATTTCTTTTTTGGTAGTAGTGACTTAGCCGAACAGCATATAGACACATAACTGTAATGTGTAATGCCTCATCTGAAATATGAGCTTTAAAGAAGGTAGGCATCAAAGTTAAATTCAGTTTTCTGGCCTCTTCCGAGTAGTCAAGATGCACATTAATATACATTTCGCAACGCATTCTCCTGCTGATCACTTGAGTTGCATGAAGTTTGGGTTTACGTTATAAGAATATAGATATATTTAGCATGAGTTTAAAAAAGTGTAACTTTTGTTTGCACGGTGAACATAAGAGAGAAACACACACAGCAGGAATAAGGCATTTGCAGTTTTCCTTTCTGAACGACTGAGAATTATCTGTACATTCCCAGCAGAGATTTCCCAGATTCTCTAAGGCTTCGTATTGACTGCTACTGCTATCTACTGGTAGGGCAGATGACTGGTGACAGGCAGCAGCATGAAAGAGCAAGGAAGAAAAAGACCACTCATATTCGGGACACAATGCCTAGGCAAGATATGGTAAGAGTGACCCACTGGAACCAAAAGCAGTTTTTTTCTGGAAATAGGAAGAGGTCGCTACTGCTTAACTGTTTGGGTGTTTTGTTGATTTTTTTTTTTTTCTTTTAATTGGTAAACTGGAAGTGACATCAAATATTATTATTTGCAGTATGAACAGTAATAAGGAAGTGGCTGCTACACTGCCTTAGCCTGTAGCATGAATCATTTGACTATCTAAACATATCATACCTCCTCTTTAAAATGTCATAATTGTAAAAAACATTTAATCTAACAGTAACCTGTCAATCTGCATCTCAGGGAAAAATATTTTGTGTTCTGTTTAATTACAGCATATTACAGGAGAGCACACAAAAACCTCCAACCACCATCATTTCTTGATTGTAGTATTTTGTGCTTAAAAAGAAAGAGCCTTCCGTAAAATACTTACTAACTTGTGTAAGCCTATCAAACACATAATACTGTTACCTTTCTTCAATTCTGTTCCTGTCCATAAGTGGTTGTTTGATCCACTGATTAACTAGTCTTTGTCCTTGAGGGGTCCTGCATTTATTTAGCAAACCAGCCAGAGACTGTGCAGTATTAGCATTTTCCACAGAACTCTGGAAAGGAGAAAAAAAAAAAAAAGAATTAGTGAAGTTTATTGACATCGCTGAATGGCACTCAACTACTCAACTTTGGTAGCAAAGTTGATCGGTGTTTTTTTTCTGTATTCAACTTTGCACTGATCAAAAAAGGCAAATGAAACAGCACGGTATTAAAGCACGTACACTCTGGTCCGTGGAACATGGCAAGCAAGAAATAGGTTTGTCTATTTTGAAACTAAACCCGACTGAACAGGAAAGTCAGAAATGTACCTAGTCACTAGGCAGTTTGCCCTCTCAAAAGGAAAGGCGAAAAATTACCTCAATATTTGCTAGTTTGCCCTTTGTAAGGTCAAAAAATAGGGGTCCTGTCCATCAAAAAAAAAAGCAGCAAGAGACAGAACTTGAACTCAAGGGTTTTGGATGCAGATCTTTGGGGGATGTCGGGGGCACAGACAACAACAGAGTGAGACAATGGGAATGAACACAGTTATCTAAATTCTCTCAAGCTTCCCCAGATCATCTTTGGAGTACTATAAACAACATTATGCTTCCTCTGTTCAGATTATAGTTCACTATAATTTAGGTTTAATATTAACTGGACTCAAGACAGCCTTTTGGGCATTTTTCTTAGGGTTTTGTTTTTGCACAGTTAGGAAGCAAAAATTTCATTTAACATTGAAAAACAGCAAACAAGCTTGTTTCAATTCTTAATTTTGAAATTAAAATCTCAACCCTCTCTACCCAAGAACAATTAAAACAGCAGGCAAATATTCAACCAGGAGCAGGTCTGGATGCCTGTGAACAACTAGGATGTAGAACTAGCATCACCATAACAGGAAAAGAATGCAGTGAGAAGGTATACTGACACATTTAACCCCTGGAAAATCTAATATCTAAAGTGGATGTGCCTTTTTTCAGCGTTCTGGACAGTATTACATATGAAAAACTTCTGAATCCAAGAAGGTGTCACAGAGTACATATACTATACACGAATAACCTACTTCAGCACATCCTAGTTGGAAGCCTACAGCTTCATACAATCAACTGCATCTGCTGCACCATAAGAACTTTACCTACATCCCTCACAGAGCAACTCAAATTACAAAATACTTTGCGTTTGCTTTAGGGCCTGCTCAAAAACCTTACCACGAACAGCCTGCCACACAGGCAATAACACAGCTTCCTGCTACATGGCAAACCCTTGTCCCAAAGCTCACAGCAGTCCCTAAAGACAGACATGGCAGTGTATTTCCTATCACAAAACACATAAAACCTGCAAGGACTTATGAAGGGATGTAGCTAAGACAGTGTTGAACATCCTAGAGCACCTCCATAAAGCTTGAGAAGAGATATAATTTTTACTTCATTCCCTAGACAGTGTCACAGGATCAGGAAATAAAGAAAAAAAAAATTCAGAACATCTGTCTCCAGGGTTAACCAGCTCAGATGCTGAATATATGCTCTTTTTTCCTCCAGAAATCCCTCTAAGGCAAACAGGGGACCATATTTGTGATTTATTTCTATAAGTCTGAAACTCAAATGGATTAGCTCCAAGCAAAGATCACTAAGCAAGATTTAGTAACATGAAAACAAAAGAGAAAAGCTAATACAGTACATCACTTTGAGTCCACATTTTCCTACAATTATAGAAAGGGGCAAAGCAGAAAAAAAAAAAAAAAACAGATGTGGTGGGAGGTATGGAGGAGACTCATGATCTGCTTGGATTTGTAGAAAATGCGTGTAAAAAGTAAAATTGACACTGGCTACTTAGCATGCCACAGTGCTTTCAGAATGTTCTTAAGTACTGCCCTGTTCATGGCCCTGCCGCAGCCGGTCCTCCCCTTCCATCTCCACCAGCAGTGCTCCCGCCACATGCGTCCTATTCCCCTCACACTATCTAATCCAAGCTTCTATTCTCTTTCCCCAAAACAGCACTACTGTACAGAGCAGCTGTCCTTTGGAGCTCCCTATCATACCAAACAACATCTGAACTCTCCTCCCCTCCCACATCCCAAGCCTGCTCCTGCCACTGGAGACGTGAACTGCTCTGAGGAAAACGAAGGGAAGACAAAGCATTCCCCCCACTGCTTAGCCAGACTCCTCAGCAGCTACAACCATGAGGGATTTCTACGGTTCTTCTCATATCTCCATTCTACACAGATACTTGCTTGTGGCCGCCTCCTACCTCCTTGATGATCTTCTCCTCTACATTCAAAGTAAGCTAACAAAAAAAAACCACCACCACACAAAACCCAAAAAGGTGGTAACAGTGACTGTTTAAAACACACATCGTACAGGAGGAGCTGAAAACAAAGTTAAAGTGTAGAAGTTGCCATTAATCGGGATCTAGGGAGTTGTGATCGGGCAGTCAGGCTACTTATAAAGCAGCTAAATAAGTACATTGCAAAACAGTTACCAATTCAGGTGTGCACTTCTTACCTGAAAAAGGTTGAGGGCTTGCACAGCTGCATTATCTAGAACCATATATTGACTAAGATCAAAAGTAGTCAGTTCAAATTGTCCAAAATTAGACTCATCTGACAGCAACTCTAAAAACTTGATAATGGCCGACAAAGATGAAACAGCAACCTGATGTTCAAAACAAAACACACCATATTCTAGTTAGAAACACTCCTGAATCAGAAAGTATTTGTTAAATGTCCCTAAAAAATTACCATCAGGGAAGACTTTCAGCCATGCCAACACCAGTAAGGCTATGAGAGACTCAGCCTGTTTGACAAGACTTCATTTTCATAGGGATGTTCTATGGCACGGCAGCATCTTTCTAGGCAGGTGCAAGAACAACGAACTAGACATTTGCATAATCTGATAAACAAAATGTGAAGTGCATGCCTCGCCAGCTTTCCAAAGTTGTTATGAGGATGTTTCTGGCTCAGGAACACAAACAAGTTATTGCAGATAAATGAGATATCATGGATCATCTCAGGACATGGTTTCAGGGTGAGTTTTCAGTCAGAACAATGATCTGATCTGACTCACTGCACGGCGTTACAAACGCTAGTGCCAGCACAAAAGAGAGGCAGCAGCATGACCGACTTGTTCAGCTGCAACACACTTCAAACAATTTTAACCTGTTATGAAATCACACATTAAGGGAGAATAACTCCATACCTTACACCTGCAGTGAGCATCAGCAGCAAAGGACACTTTAAAACATGTTTATCTCAAGCAAATTACCTCTTGTTTGCAGCTAAGAACAAACATGCTCAGTTCACATGCAGGTACTAAATCATATGCTTGAGCCACAAGATGATATAAAGCACAAAAATACTATCATAAACATGACTGTGTTTTCAAATACCAATTTTCCTGTCATGCAAAATAATCAAAGTATTGTATTTCAGTCCTTAGGCTAGACAGATTATGAATAGGCAGCACCTCTTGTGCACAGACTGTTCGCTTACCAGAGTCTACTCCTTTAAAGAGATAAGTGAAGGGTTTCCTCATTTTTTTTTCCAGGACCCCTGGAATCCAACTTTGACACAGACTCAAGCTGAGCAGAACTGCTAAACACTTCAACAAGAACTTAGCTTAATATATCATGGGTTGTACAATATACTTTCCCAGAAGTATGGGAATCCAGCATAAACCAGGACCAGTGAGGACAGAGAAGACCAGCTCACAACAGGTGCACAAACCACTCTGCTTCTAAAATAACAGCAGCACATTAAACATTGCTCTGTGCTTACCTGCTTTTCCATCTCTGGCAGTGCTGCGCTATTCATTTGTTCTTCTTTTTTTGATTTTAACAACCGATTGAGATCCTGAACAATATCTTTTGTTGTGAAATCTGCCTTCTTCCTGTCTGTAATCAGGATTCCTCCCCTCTGAACGACCTGTTGTCCATAAACACACACAGTTATCAATTACTTTCAATATTCAGGGGATAGACACCCATTCACATAGAAGCAAACCCTGAAGAGGTATTTATTTACTGCTAGGTTGCAGAGAGAAGCATGACAGACAAGATTTTACCCTTAGAACAACTTTTGCTGATTAAAATGCAAACAAGTCAACAGAGAAATAACACATTTTGGATGCGTAAATCAAAACTTCGAGTTAACATATTGCTCCTTCATATTTCCATAAATCATGGAGCGTAGCTTGTAAGGCAGAATATAGCTTTTTAGATGAAGTCTAACTGTAAGCCACAACAGTTCCCTTACTTGTCGTAGTTTTCCCATCTCTCCTGCAGTCTCTCCTCCTGGTAGCACACACTCCTTCGGTCCTAGTTGAACCAGTAGAGCTTCAAGGTTTGAGAACTGATCATTATCCGGAAATTCACAGACACTCAATTTTCTCAGTGTAGTGTCGACATAGCCCACTCCTACTACTCTTTGTCCATCAGCAGTAGACAGCTTAACCCCCACAACCCCAATGGCTGTTGACATATCATTGTTGGCAAAGAGAACTTCCTCAAATTGGGCAAGATTTCCTGGAGAACCCTATTTAGAAAATAAATAAAGAGTGTGTTTATACACACATACTTTTTTTCTTTAAAAAGGACAACAACTGATAAAACTAAGTACTGAACAGTGCAATAATGCAAAACAAACAGCTGTTCTATTTTTTTAACCATTAAAATTTTATGTATCATCTACACCAAGTGAACTACTTCAGGCTTCCTTTATTTCCCAACCTATGGCAAAGATGGACAACAAGCTCTTCCAGACTTAGAGTGGTAGAAAATACATGGATATATAACAGACCGCACGATTTGCCAGCATACCATCAATGTCAGTCCCTGAAAGTCTCAAAACTCCAAGCTGGGGGACTCAGGAAGAATTATGGGTTTTTTTTTTTCATCTCACAATTATGAAGAAAGATAGAAAATTGTACCTTGTATGCTAAATACCAGTCATTTTCTTTGATAGATTTACTCCCTGCTTTGTTCTTGTAAACTTCAACTCTGTAATGACGAACCAGAAGCAGATCTCTCACAAAAGATTCAAAGTTCATTTTACTAAGCACAACACTCTCAAGCTTCTGAGTTCCTACAAAAAAAAAGAAAAAAAGAAAATTGAGATATCTGAATTTGTCCATAAAGTTTACTTCCTGCAATCAAAATCCTCAAGAACAGCCTTCAGGAGGTACACTATTCTAATATCAAAGAAGCAAACATGTAAAATCCACGAAACAACATAAAACCACAACATTCAACTGGTTAATATGAAGAATGAAGAAAGTATACTCCATATCCAAATTTTAAAAAATGTTCATTTCCAAATTTCACTAAATCTAGACATATATATAGAAAGAGATCTGTTCCTCTCACCCTTCCCCTCTCCTTACAATATTCTTGACTTAGTTTTCTAATTAACAGCTCACACATTTTTATCTAATGAGTGGTGGAAGCCTGCTACAGGTTTTCCTTCTGGATATCATCTTTTCTTTCCTGGATGCGCCACTTCTGCTGACAGAATTGACTGTCACCCTGTTCGCACTCAGAAGACGGCGAGACACACATTCCAAGACATCTCCCTTTTATCAGAATGCGTACTCTAAAAACAACACATTCTTAAAAAAGTTTAAAAGTTTACATTAAAATCTAACTTAGAAAGTGCCTAATTGACAAATGTCTTGCTTTGGTTCCTATAAGGGTGAGGGCAGATGATACAGTTGAACAAATTTCAATCCGTACAGCTGCCAAGAGGAACAAGACCACTTCTACCTCCCCACCTCCCGTGCCACCTCTAGCACCAGCCTCCTCACAGAGTAAGATAATTCCACTACCAAACAAATTGGGTTTCGGGTGGGTATATGAAGCTTTCTATCAGACTAGCGAGTAGAATTAACTCAGACTGGTGTCAGATACACGAGAGCTAGATGACATATAAAGTAAGCACAAGCAACAGATGGGGTTTATCACATCCCTCTGTTGAGCAGCATGCCTTCATCACATTTGAGGCTCTTCCTCCCTTTATGTGAAAGATGTTAAACAGAATTTCCACACCCGTAAGCACTTACGGGTTTATTTTCAATAGGATTTTTTCATTTTCTTTCCTCAAATCTCTATTAAACTTTTTGGAAGCAGGTACAAAACTAATTCCACATAATTAGG